GTACTGCTACATAATAATCGTGCTGAAATATTATTTTGATATTTCTTGAGAAAAAAAGAACTATGTACCTTTTTGTCTTCAGAATAGCATTTTATTAGTATGCCTACAAAGATAATATGAAGGCCAGGAAGAAGTATCCATTGAGCATAAGCGAAAAAAGTCCACAGTTGGGACACAATGGCCATGAAATCGCGAGAAAAGTATATTTCTAGAGCTTGTAAGCCTCAAAAAATGGTTGAATGTTGTAATTGTCTTGGTTGTGGGTGTTATAATTACTGGCTTGAAAATAACTTTTTCCACAACATGTGCCGAAAACACTTTTTTCTGAACTCACATCCTCTGGGCGCAATCATTTAAAGTAGAGGTGAAATGTCGATTTCGCGAAAGCCTGAGGTCAATCTGAAGAAACGAATATTCAACCACTTTATTTTTTTGCAACAAAAAGGTTCGATAATTTTAAAAAAATTTTAAAAAGGAAATTGAAAGGGTAAAAGACCACGAGGTGGGTCGATTAACCACTACACATAGAGAAAAAAACTTTTAAGATTGAAAAAAATTTTGATATTTGGAAAAAAAAATATCTTCTTTTTTTCGAGAAAATTCTGATCGAAATAGTCGACTTATCAAGCTGTCATTCTTGTAGTTGAATAGATTTATTTTGAGGTAATTTCATATCACTTTCTTGCAAGTTCATTCCTGTCCTGAGCGACTGCAGCGGTCATAGACACTCGCGAAGTCTTGACGTTTCGGAGAAACTCCAATTTCAAGATTGAACAAAAAATTTTCCTCTTTTTTGGGTTTCCGACAATGAAAGACAACGGGACAACGTAGCCTGAGACTTAACACTGCAGTATTCGAAATAATATTATCAACCTGAAAGACCGATGCCTAGAAGAAATATAAAAATAGCTTCATTCCCTTGGGCCCTATCTTTTGCAGAAAGTTTCAGAATAATGTCGTTAAACGACGTTATCTGGAAGTATTTGTATGAAAATCCTTCAAGGTAGACTGAAATTCGAGACTTACAAAAGAATAAATTGATATTGGCAAAGCCTGAAGGATGATGGTCTTATGATTTCTGTTGAGGGAGTTTGACGGTAGTATTTTCGTCTGACGGTTGACCGCCCAGAGAAGTAGAGCATACCCAGATAAGGTGGAAATTATCACAATAAGTTTAATAGTTACAAATAACTGAAAAATAGTCAGTCACTTTTTGAAACTACACTCGCTAATCTTCCTGTTTTTCACTTCCGATTATTTTTCTTGTGTTTAAATTACCTTATACGGAGTATCAAATATCTGTAGAATTTCTGAATAATCAGGCTCTTTGTATAAAGACTCGTGGAAAACAAGAAAAATTGCCATTGGTATTGAGAATAAAATTGAGAATGCCAAGGGCCTAAACAAAAATTTGAGAGACCTGATTTGGAAAATAAAATCCGTGTAGCTCGACTTTTGACCGGTTTTCGGAGTTAAAAAAAAGATATTTTTAATAAAAAACACTCTCACACTGTACCATTTGAAATTTTTGCAGAACCAGGGTGCGATTTCGAAAAAACTTAGAAGTCGATGAAGGCACAGAATAGCGTCAAGAAAGATCAGAATGTAAGGGCAACATGTGGAAATAAAAAATAAGAGAAGAAACCATGCTCCAATTTCGTCTTTAACATGGAATAGAGCATCAGAAGCTAGTAAAGCTGGCCCAATTGAACTGATAACAGCGAAAAGCTCCATCCAAAGCACCGCTATATAGTAATCGTACTGTAAAAAAATTCTTCTTTTTAAAAGTTTTTGAAAAAAAAAGTCTTAAACAGTACAAAAAATATGGAGAAAATGTGTTTCTTTTGAAAATTTAAGGAAATATTCAAAAAAATTTTTCCAATCCCGGTTTTTTAATCTCAAGTTCCGAGTTTCAACCTTCTTGTCTTCGGGGTAACATTTTATGAGGATTCCAATAAATATGATATGAAGCCCTGGAAGAAGGAACCACGGAGTGAAGGCGAAGACAGGCAAAAATCCAGATAACAAAGTCATAGAAATGAAAAGCCTCGATAGGAAGTATATTCAGGGCAAAATGTCAAATTTGATTGGTTATAACAAGCGACTTTCTCAGTTACAGGGTGGGAAATAATGATGGGTGAGAAGCTTTGTAATAACCTCACACGGAAGCATTTTAACTTCTAGTCTTGAACTTTTTTTTTTCACCGTCTACACAAAGTTTGTACTGATTATCACTTTTTTCAAGCGATTCCGTGTTGAGATCTAGTTTTTCCATTTTCTGGCTTGTTGCTGAGATTAGTTTGGCATTTTTTTTTCAGAAAAATATACTCTTTGTGATTACTAGGACGATGGACCGTTGAAGCTTTTTCGGACTTTATAACTTTCAAGAGATGTTTTTTATCAAAAAAATTGTTTAAAAATAGTTCAAATCATGTCTTTCAACTCCAAAAAGCATATAAAGGAACTCACTTTACAAAAAAGTTTATTTTGCTACCTCTGACTCCACTTTGCCTCACCTCCTCCCATTCTTGATCATGTTTCTTTTCTTCTTTTTTTTTTGTCTTCTTTAACTTTTCTTCTTACTTGGATTTGTCGCGTCTCACTGGAAAATTTCGAAAAAATAAAAATTCATTTTGCTATCAAGTTATTTGATTCTCATCTTTCTCTCAAGTAGTTCCAGAATTTTCGAATAGAACCAATTCTAGGCCAAGAATCAATAAACATTTCTGCTGAGGATTTAGACATTCAGTTCTATTCTTAAATTATAGATTTTACACGAAGAAACATGATAAATTTTTTTATTTTATTAATATCTTTACTTTTTAGCCCGTGAAGAAGCGCAGGATTCAAATTTCAGAACCGTGCGTTGAGAAAAATGCGGAAAATGAATTCTAAAAAAAGGAGTCTTCAGAAAAGAAAAGATTTTCGCTTCGTGACCCCAAACTTCAACTATGTATCCGGATCCCCTACGGCTTTCCAAAAAATCCGTCATCCGGGTAATTTTTTCCTCAAGCTTCACGGTGAGATTTGGAGAAAACACACACACACACAGTGTGTGTGTGTATTTTGAAATGAAAAACTTTTTTCAGCCATTTCAAAATTGGTCGTTCATTTTTTGACCGTTCGACATGTCACTCTGAAAATGGGCGGTCGGTTTCGTAAATGTCAGAAACTGGTCGGTCAAACGAACGGTCAGAAAAATGACATTTTATAACCGTTCGAAAAACTGAACGTTCAAATCAGTTGAACGGTCTAATTGGTCGAACGGTCAAATTTTAGAACACTAAGACACACACCACGAGCGAGAAAAAATTATGGAAGTCTCACAAAATATAAGAAGTTCTTTAATTTTTTTCAATCAAATACCTCTGTTTCTTGATTCGATCTGAAGATTCAACTGAAAAAAACATTTTTTTCGGAGTTTCTACCGGAGTTGTAAAATTACTTTATAAAAATGAGAAAATATGAATTCAGAGTGAACTTCGTTTTATGCCAGCTAGAAAAATAATAGTCGAGTTGCTATTTCTGATTTTCTAGGTCGCTTGATGAAAGCGAATAAACTGATTTATTTCACTGTTAAAAGTACGTTCTTTGTTTAAATAAATTTGTTTCGTTCACGGCGAGTCTTTGTCTTGAAAATTTTCCGTCGTCATAGGCTCTATCGCGATTTTGTTATTTCGAATGAGCTCCAGCTTCATCAATGATAAGAACATTTTTCGCTTTTTTGGGTTTCCAATGATGAAAGATAGCGGAACAATGTAACCTGAGAAATCGACTTTTAAGGAGGTTTGTTGGATTATGAACCTGATAGGCCGATGTTAAAAAGAAATAAAGACATGGCTTCCATTCCCATGAACTTATCTTCGCCAGCGTACTTCATAAAGAAAGCATTGAACGAAATTATCTGAAAAATTCCATATTTTAAAGTTTTAAATTCCGAATTCCCAGTCTGTATTCGAAGCAGTCGCGACGCGGTTTTTCGCCACCACTTCAAAAAAATTATCTTTTTGTGTTAATGGAATCAATAAAACTTAGATTTTTTTGCACAATAGAGTATTCAGAAACTTTGTGGCGCTCTGGTTTAACCTTTTTTTTTCAAATTTAATTTCATTCAATTTTATCATTTTTTTTGGTGTAAGTTATACAGAAAAACTAAAAACGTATAATTCACTTTTTTTCGAGAATTTTCATTTCCACTTGACACATTTGTGGACAAAAAAACTCCCTTGTGAGGATTCAAAACTCACAAACGAGTAGATTGATATTGGCAAAGCCTGAAGAACGATGGTTTTATGACCTCTGTGGAGAGAATTCGACGCTAGTACTTTCGTCTTGCGGTTGACAACCCAGAGAAGTAAAATGTAGCCCAATAAAGTTAGAACTGTCACCGTAAATTTGACAGTCATAACAATCTGAGAAAAAAAGTTGATTTTTGATTGAGTGTATTTGAAAGTTTGGAAGTTTGAGAATATCTTCGTTTCTGGCAAGTACCTTATAGGGACTTTCAAGCTCATCAAGTGTTTCTTTTTCTTTTTCTTCTTGGGAATATGTTAAGTCATGAAAAATCAGCACAAATCCAACGGGAAAAGACGTTAATATAGAGATGGTTATAGGCCTGGAATATGGAATATTAGTAAAACGACATTTTTTAAACTTTTTTGCTATTGTATGTCACCTTACCATTTGAAATTCCTGCAAAACCAGGGGGCGATTTCAAAGAAACTGAGAAGTCTGTGGAGACATAAAATAGCGTCAAGGAATATCAGAATATAAGGACAGAACATGGAGAGAATCAAGAAAAATTGAGCCCAAGCTTTGACTTCATCCGGAATATAAGTTTTACTTAACAAGGCAGCTCCAGTTGGTCCACTCAAACCGATTAAAGTGAATACTTCCATCCATGGCACCGCTAAATAATAATCGTGCTGAAAAAGTAGTTTACATTATAAAAAATTGGTTTTTTAAAAAAATTATTTAAGAAGAATGAAAAATGTAAGTGTTCAGGGCACCTTCTTGTCTTCGGAGTAGCATTTTATGAGAATGCCGATGAAGATGATATGAAGAACTAGAACAAGAATCCACTGAGACAAGACGAGAACCGTCAAAACTTCCGTCAAAAAGTTCATTGGAACGACATTTTTTGAGAAAATAGGCCAAAAGGGTAATGTACAATTTGTTTGAATGAGACAATCCATTTTCTCAGTGACAGGGTGCGAAATAATTGGGGTTCACAAACTTCGCAATTATTTTGGAAGTTTTGTCTAGGCCGTAGACCTTGAATTTTTTTAGTTTTGAAAAAAATTATAAGTTTGTAAAAGTTGAAGGAAGGACTAATTCGGTTTTAATATGAGGATAAATGATTGAAAGACATGGAGAAGCGTGTATTATTCTATAATATGAAAATAATTTAAAAAGAAGCGAAGAGAATGCATATAAAATAAATTAGAACAAAACAGAAAGTAAGAAAGAAAGAGAGACGTTAATGACAACGCCTTGTACTGGGTAATACGCGTACTGAGTGAAGTTCGATTTAACTTTTCCCTTAGTTCAGGAAGTGTGAGGAAGGAGCTTTTAAAAATGGTCTTTCCATGAGAAAACGAGCTGAGGTATAATTTTAGAAAAACCTTCAAGTTTTGCTTCTTGAATTCATCAAATATTTCGAGATTTTGCTAGACAGTTATCTCCGGTCTATGCTCTTAATTGCAGTTTTTACGCGGTTTCAAAATGCCTTTCAAATACTCTTTTTATAGTTTCTGTAATAAGAATTTAGGGACTATCAAAAATTTAAAGTTTTTTCAGTTCAGCTTTTTGTGGTTTTTAATATGTTTCTCCAGTCCCGAAAAAACGTTACTTTGATTTTTCTTCATGAACCAAAACTAGAAGTGGGGTGTTAGTTGCTTTTTTCTCCATTCAATTTCTTCAGATTCAAAGTTTATTCTCTGTTTGGAACAAAATCCACTATCTGAGAATCGCTTTATTATCTTCGAGGTTGAACAACTACTACAGCCGTTCTCGACACTCTATTAACTTTCCACGTCATTTTTCCCATATTCATAAAATCATAGAACATTTTCCTCTTTCTCTGGTTTCCAATAATGAAAGATAGCGGTACGACATAGCCTGGAAATGTATAATATGAAAAGCCTAAGGTATAACTACCAAAAAAACCTGAAAAAACTAAGCTCAGTATTAATATTAATGGAGCCTCGTCTCCCAGAAACTCATCTTCAGGTATTCTCAGTAGAACGCCGTTAAAAGACATCAGCTGCAAAAAATAACTTTTTTGAAATCATATCGAAATAGAAGCTCACGAAAGAGTAGATAGATATTGGCAAAGCCTGAAGGACGATAGTTCTATGGCTTCGGTGGAGATCATTAGACGGGTTTCTTTTTGATCTCCGGTTGACGGCACGGAGAAGCATAATATATCCCGATAAGTTAAAAACTACCAGCATAATCTTAACCACCATAGCCAACTGAACGTCATGATTTCTTTTGGAGATGTACGGAGATTAAAAGAGACAAGGAAAAAAAGGAGATTTTTCAGCTGAATGACTTACCTGATACGCCGTTTGGATTTCATCGACAATGTCCTTTCCATCGGGAATGGAATTCATTGTTGCAAAAGCTATCAAAATGAAAGAGGAAGGAATTGAAGTCAGGATAGTAAGAGCCAAGGGCCTGAAACGGTTGAAATCAACTTATTACAGAGTCTAAGAAACGCTGGCTTCCTTTTAGAGTCAGTATAATCTTTTTTCCAGGCTAGAGAGGTGATATGGGCAGACTCTTTTTCTTTTTCGTTTTTCGTAGGCATCAACCTTGCCAATCTGCCATATCGCCATTCAAGTCGGCGAGATTCGATTATATTAATTATGGACTTTGCAAACTTGGTAAAATTTAAAAATGAAAATCCTCTAGAAAGTTTTTTCAATTTCATACCATTTGAAGTTTCTGCAAAACCAGGGGGCGACTTCGAAGAAACTGAGAAGTCTATGAAGACATAAAACAGCGTCGATGAACATTAGAATATGCGGACAACACATGGAAAGGATAAAGTAGTAGGAGTCCAAATCGCTGATTTGATTTGCATCGAAGAAAATATTGTACGGGGCCAGTACGGCGGGACCAGTGAACCCAATCAAAGTGACAACCTCCATGCAGGGAACTGCCGCGTAGTAATCGTACCATACATGGGCTAACCAACTACTTTTTGTGACGTCATCACGTACCCCCCTTGAAAAAGTACGTACTCCCCTCGAAAAAGTACGTACCCCCCCGCGGATGACTATCAATGTGAAATGATTATTAAAGTTAATATGAGAATTGAATGAGACTATTATCTTGTTTCGCGGGCTTTTGGAAGTATATTCAGCTAGGTTTCAACACTCCAAAACAGAAATATTCCAACTTTTAGCGTAGACCCCCAAAATCCGAAAATCGATCTGTTTTCAATGTTATCCTACATTATGAATTGGGTTTTATGATCTGGCCAAGTTGCAAGCCGTTTGGATGAGTTTTAAGAAAAATAATTTTTTGGGCCATCGAATATTGATATTTTGAAATTTTGGATTTTTTGGCCCCAAATCGATATAAACCTTGAGTTAACACTAAATAAGGTATATGCTACAAGTTTCCAGGCTTCGAACGTTTTTGACCAAGTTACAGTGTTTCAAAGCGTTATCACTTGAGGGTTTGCGTACCCTCCACCCCCCTGTACCCCCAAAATCCGAAAAATCGATCTGTGTAGCATATACCTTATTTAGTGTTAACTCAAGGTTGATAATGATTTTGAGCCAAAAAAATTAAAATTTCAAAATATCAATTTCCGGTGACCCAAAAAATTATTTTTCTTAAAACTCATCCAAAACGGCTTGAAACTTGGCCAGATCATAAAACCCAATCCATAATGTAGGATAACATCAAAAACAGATCGATTTTCGGATTTTGGGGGTACGGGGGTACGCAAACCCTCAAGTGATAACGCTTTGAAACACTGTAACTTGGTCAAAAACGTCCGGAAGCCTGGAAACTTGTAGCATATACCTTATTTAGTGTTAACTCAAGGTTTATATCGATTTGGGGCCAAAAATCCGAAATTTCAAAAATATCAATATTCGATGGCCCAAAAAAATTATTTTTTTCTTAAAACTCATCCAAACGGCTTGAAACTTGGCCAGATCATAAAAACCCAATTCATAATGTAGGATAACATTGAAAAACAGATCGATTTTTCGGATTTTTGGGGGGTACGGGGGTACGCAAACCCTCAAGTGATAACGCTTTGAAACACTGTAACTTGGTCAAAAAACGTTCGGAAGCCTGGAAACTTGTAGCATATACCTTATTTAGTGTTAACTCGAGGTTTATATCGATTTGGGGCCAAAAAATCCGAAATTTCAAAATATCAATATTCGATGGCCCAAAAAATTATTTTTCTTAAAACTCATCCAAACGGCTTGAAACTTGGCCAGATCATAAAACCCAATTCATAATGTAGGATAACATTGAAAACAGATCGATTTTCGGATTTTGGGGGTACGGGGGGGTACGCAAACCCTCAAGTGATAACGCTTTGAAACACTGTAACTTGGTCAAAAAACGTCCGGAAGCCTGGAAACTTGTAGCATATACCTTATTTAGTGTCAACTCAAGGTTTATATCGATTTGGGGCCAAAAAATCCGAAATTTCAAAATATCAATATTCGATGGCCCAAAAAATTATTTTTCTTAAAACTCATCCAAACGGCTTGAAACTTGGCCAGATCATAAAACCCAATCCATAATGTAGGATAACATCAAAAAAACAGATCGATTTTCGGATTTTGGGGGGTACGGGGGGTACGCAAACCCTCAAGTGATAACGCTTTGAAACACTGTAACTTGGTCAAAAAAACGTCCGGAAGCCTGGAAACTTGTAGCATATACCTTATTTAGTGTTAACTCAAGGTTTATATCGATTTGGGGCCAAAAAAATCCGAAATTTCAAAAATATCAATATTCGATGGCCCAAAAAAATTATTTTTTTCTTAAAAACTCATCCAAACGGCTTGAAACTTGGCCAGATCATAAAAACCCAATCCATAATGTAGGATAACATCAAAAACAGATCGATTTTCGGATTTTGGGGGGGTACGGGGGGTACGCAAACCCTCAAGTGATAACGCTTTGAAACACTGTAACTTGGTCAAAAAACGTTCGGAAGCCTGGAAACTTGTAGCATATACCTTATTTAGTGTTAACTCAAGGTTTATATCGATTTGGGGCCAAAAAATCCGAAATTTCAAAATATCAATTTCCGATGACCCAAAAAATTATTTTTCTTAAAACTCATCCAAACGGCTTGAAACTTGGCCAGATCATAAAACCCAATCCATAATGTAGGATAACATCGAAAACAGATCGATTTTCGGATTTTGGGGGTACGGGGGGTACGCAAACCCTCAAGTGATAACGCTTTGAAACACTGTAACTTGGTCAAAAAAACGTCCGGAAGCCTGGAAACTTGTAGCATATACCTTATTTAGTGTTAACTCAAGGTTTATATCGATTTGGGGCCAAAAATCCGAAATTTCAAAAAATATCAATATTCGATGGCCCAAAAAAATTATTTTTTTCTTAAAACTCATCCAAACGGCTTTGAAACTTGGCCAGATCATAAAAATTCAATTCATAATGTAGGATAACATCGAAAACAGATCGATTTTTCGGATTTTGGGGGTACGGGGTACGCAAACCCTCAAGTGATAACGCTTTGAAACACTGTAACTTGGTCAAAAAAACGTCCGGAAGCCTGGAAACTTGTAGCATATACCTTATTTAGTGTTAACTCAAGGTTTATATCGATTTGGGGCCAAAAAATCCGAAATTTCAAAATATCAATTTCCGATGACCCAAAAAATTATTTTTCTTAAAACTCATCCAAACGGCTTGAAACTTGGCCAGATCATAAAACCCAATTCATAATGTAGGATAACATTGAAAACAGATCGATTTTCGGATTTTGGGGGGTACGGGGGGTACGCAAACCCTCAAGTGATAACGCTTTGAAACACTGTAACTTGGTCAAAAAAACGTTCGGAAGCCTGGAAACTTGTAGCATATACCTTATTTAGTGTTAACTCAAGGTTTATATCGATTTGGGGCCAAAAATCCGAAATTTCAAAATATCAATATTCGATGGCCCAAAAAAATTATTTTTTTCTTAAAAACTCATCCAAACGGCTTGAAACTTGGCCAGATCATAAAACCCAATTCATAATGTAGGATAACATCGAAAAACAGATCGATTTTCGGATTTTGGGGGGTACGGGGGGTACGCAAACCCTCAAGTGATAACGCTTTGAAACACTGTAACTTGGTCAAAAAAACGTCCGGAAGCCTGGAAACTTGTAGCATATACCTTATTTAGTGTTAACTCAAGGTTGATAATGATTTTGAGCCAAAAAATTCAAAATTTCAAAATATCAATTTCCGGTGACCCAAAAAAATTATTTTTTTCTTAAAAACTCATCCAAACGGCTTGAAACTTGGCCAGATCATAAAACCCAATCCATAATGTATGATAACATCAAAAACAGATCGATTTTTCGGATTTTGGGGGGTACGGGGGTACGCAAACCCTCAAGTGATAACGCTTTGAAACACTGTAACTTGGTCAAAAAAACGTCCGGAAGCCTGGAAACTTGTAGCATATACCTTATTTAGTGTTAACTCAAGGTTGATAATGATTTTTGAGCCAAAAAAATTAAAAATTTCAAAAATATCAATTTCCGGTGACCCAAAAAAATTATTTTTCTTAAAAACTCATCCAAACGGCTTGAAACTTGGCCAGATCATAAAACCCAATCCATAATGTATGATAACATCAAAAACAGATCGATTTTCGGATTTTGGGGGGGGTGCACGGGGGTACGCAAACCCTCAAGTGATAACGCTTTGAAACACTGTAACTTGGTCAAAAAACGTCCGGAAGCCTGGAAACTTGTAGCATATACCTTATTTAGTGTTAACTCAAGGTTTATATCGATTTGGGGCCAAAAAATCCGAAATTTCAAAATATCAATATTCGATGGCCCAAAAAATTATTTTTCTTAAAACTCATCCAAACGGCTTGAAACTTGGCCAGATCATAAAACCCAATTCATAATGTAGGATAACATTGAAAACAGATCGATTTTCGGATTTTGGGGGGGTACGGGGGGGTACGCAAACCCTCAAGTGATAACGCTTTGAAACACTGTAACTTGGTCAAAAAAACGTTCGGAAGCCTGGAAACTTGTAGCATATACCTTATTTAGTGTTAACTCAAGGTTTATATCGATTTGGGGCCAAAAATCCGAAATTTCAAAAATATCAATATTCGATGGCCCAAAAAAATTATTTTTTTCTTAAAACTCATCCAAACGGCTTGAAACTTGGCCAGATCATAAAACCCAATTCATAATGTAGGATAACATTGAAAACAGATCGATTTTTCGGATTTTTGGGGGGTGCGGGGGGGTACGCAAACCCTCAAGTGATAACGCTTTGAAACACTGTAACTTGGTCAAAAACGTTCGGAAGCCTGGAAACTTGTAGCATATACCTTATTTAGTGTTAACTCAAGGTTTATATCGATTTGGGGCCAAAAATCCGAAATTTCAAAATATCAATATTCGATGGCCCAAAAAAATTATTTTTTTCTTAAAAACTCATCCAAACGGCTTGAAACTTGGCCAGATCATAAAAATTCAATTCATAATGTAGGATAACATCGAAAAACAGATCGATTTTTCGGATTTTGGGGGGTACGGGGGTACGCAAACCCTCAAGTGATAACGCTTTTGAAACACTGTAACTTGGTCAAAAAAACGTCCGGAAGCCTGGAAACTTGTAGCATATACCTTATTTAGTGTTAACTCAAGGTTTATATCGATTTGGGGCCAAAAAAATCCGAAATTTCAAAAATATCAATATTCGATGGCCCAAAAATTATTTTTTTCTTAAAACTCATCCAAACGGCTTGAAACTTGGCCAGATCATAAAACCCAATTCATAATGTAGGATAACATTGAAAACAGATCGATTTTTCGGATTTTTGGGGGTACGGGGGGTACGCAAACCCTCAAGTGATAACGCTTTGAAACACTGTAACTTGGTCAAAAAAACGTCCGGAAGC